AATTAACATATTTCTGTACTCAATTTAGTATATGCACAGAGGTTATGATTTGGTGTTAGGTTTTTATGCCCCAAAATCTAGATTTTTGTGACATCAAATCTTATTAGTGGATAAATCAAAGACTGTCATTTTGAAATAAGCTCATATCAATAAATATCCATTTAAAAGCCTTATTGTAATATGTAACTAGCAAAAAGCCTAATATTTATCAAAATTAATCAAATCAAATGATCAATATTCATGATATGTCATCAGCAATAGCTAATTGATATTTTATTTTGTATTGATATTCATTTTTCTCATATTATACACGATTATATCTCTTTTTTTAAAAAAAGTTTTTATATTAGACATGAAAGTTGAATTAATACAATTTTGTACTAGAGTTTGTTTGTATATTAAATAATAATGATATATACTTCAACATATTGCGTCTCACCATTACCAAAATGTAATTTTGCATACAATTTTCTTTCATTTAACAATGATGTTATTTGAAAAGTGATACTTCCATGATTATTGATTAATGTTCCATCATATATAGGAATGAATGTTAAACAAGACACGCCTGCAGCTGGGTGCATTCGTGGCATTGTGATAAGGCTTATATATAAAGACTTCTCTCGATCAGCATTACGTCAAATGAATATTGACCCATTATTTTGGCGATGCGCTAGTTCCAAGTAGAAATGCTTTGGTATATTTAGGTTATGTCTATATGTTATGAATCATGGTATTATTGATAAAAACGTTCTTAGTCATTAAATCAATCCTAGTATCTAAAGATATAATTTAGATTTTTTTGTTTATTGCTAAAATTAAATACAGTATAACTTTCTTTCATATTGTCGGTACTAACAATACAAGATTGTGTTGAAAAAAACTTAAATATGCATGAAAATTAAATTTAATGTGTAAATATGATAAAAATTTCAACTTTACTAATAACATACATAAGTTTCTGATAGTTTAATATAGTTCATATTGATGTGACTGTAAACTATATCAAAAAAATATTTTTAAATATTGTTATGCAAATAATGGGATTTCTAAGGAAAAAATGATTATATTTGTTATATAAAGCAAATTTTTAATTATTCACTACGTTTATTACATTTTTGGCCGACCATTTACGTAATATGCCTCCACCAAGCAGACGCAAACAACAAAGTCGTGAAGCTAACGAAAAATCAATTGAAGCAAGAAAAAACTCCCAAGAAAAGAATGCGCCAAAGGAAGTCGATCCAAAACACTGGACTGCTTCTGTAATTGTTAATGGTGACTCTTATACTCGAGCAAGGAATTTATTTCAAGATAACAATATTAAAGTGCCGAGTGAAAAAGAGTTTTACCGTCATCAAAAAGAAATAGGTAAGGTAATACTAGAATATAAAGAGCAATCTATTAAAAATGCTCAACAAACAATGAAGAAAGATACATTTTTAAGCACTGATTCGCATTATAATGTTGGCAGAAATGCTACAGCGTGCCAAAGTTTAATGATGGACAACCGTGGAAAAGTTGTTGGTGAAACAACTGTTATAAAAAAGAGCTCTGGAGGAGACTTTGAAGGCCCATCCAACATGATGGAAACAGAATGTACAAAGAGGATGATGTCAAATTTTGACTTTACAAATGTTTCCACAGTGGTTCATGACAATGACAATAAAACGAAAGCCATCATCCAGCAATATTCTCCGAATGCTAAAATTACACTTGATCCTCGTCATTGTGTACGTGCAGTTGGCAGAGCTTTCGAAAAGCTTGAAAATGGTGGATATAAAGAAGCAGCAGGAAAAGAAACTGTTAATCAACAGAAAGAAAGTGATTCACAGCCAGCATTCCCAATCAAATCTAAAGCAGAAGAGCCGAAGAAACGTGGAAGACCATTAAAACACCAAGAAAAAGTATTTCATCAGATATATTCGAAAGTTATTAAGTGGTTCACTTTTATTATCATGCTTCCAATTGAAACAACGAAAAAAATTTTTCTATGGAAGAATACATTAAATCATTTTATCGGAAGGCATGAAAATTGCCTTCACGAAAAAGACAAAGAATATCCTGTGTTTCAGCCACTTACAAAACCTGATTTAGCGAAGCAATTTCAACGTTTTACAGATGATGCCGCAAAGTTGATTCCAGAAATTGATCCTAATGCTCAAACACAACAAAATGAATCAATACATCACTCAATGCTTACTCAGTGTCCCAAAGGAAACAACGCAAAATCGTTTGAAATGCGTACGGCTGTTACAATTTTACAAAAAAACGAAGGAGAGAAATGCAAACAAGAAATATACAATCGTGTCAATAATTACCAAATATCTCCTTCAATCCGCGAACTCCAAAAACTTGAATATGAGAAAAATAAATCCAGAAATCAAAAGAAAGCTACACCAGAAACAAGAAAAGAGATCAACAAGGCAAGAAATGCAAAAAGATTTCCTAAGGATAACCCTACAGGTGATTACAGAGGAGGAAAGTGGACCCCACAAGATATCTAATTTTCAAATTTGAAATAAACACATATTTTCTTTGTATTTGAAAATATTTTTATATTATAAGATTTTTGAACCTATAAGTAGCATGAAAAAAATTATATAATTTGCTCCTTTTTTATTTTAGTATACAAATATCCCATTTGTTATATGTTCGGTATATATATGATGATATTGTAATCAATTATGCTTAATGAAGCTTTATCCCGTGAACCCCTCATATTATTGGAAAATAAATAGCGAAAACATGTAGAGCTGCTATGTTCTCAAGTGTATGCTGATTTTTGGATTATTTCATGAAAACTAATGGCGGGATATCTTGCATTATTTAAAAAAATTGAACTATGCAAAAATAAATAGTATTATATGAGAAAGGGACAGACTAGCCCATTGTCACTTTTTAATTTAGCAAATGAACGCTTATGGAGTGGAGTTTTTGGGTAAATCTGATTTGCTTATAAATGAAATAAAATCAAAAGAAACCATATTGGCATTATATTATGCAAAAATAAATGATGTTACTTAGTACTTTTAAAGTTAATTTCAGAAAAAATTTGACACAATGGTATCCGGCACATACAAGTGGTGTACAACCAAAATATAAGTTGGTTTAAACATATATTGCTATATCTCATGATCTTACTTAGTACTTTTAAAGTTAATTTCAGAAAAAATTTGACACAATGGTATCCGGCACATACAAGTGGTGTACAACCAAAATATAAGTTGGTTTAAACATATATTGCTATATCTCATGATCTTACTTAGTACTTTTAAAGTTAATTTCAGAAAAAATTTGACACAATGGTATCCGGCACATACAAGTGGTGTACAACCAAATCTTCGACTCGATGAACTTGTCATCGAGTTATATTCCAGTGTTGTTCCTTCATTTCTGATTAAGTTGCAAATTAAAGGTCTGGATTCAGAGAGAAGTGTTAAAGTTATCAAAAAAGTCACAAGAGATTTCGAAGAAATGACACAATTTAAAAAAGTCGAATGCATCAGTATGCTTGAAGCTGTTCAGAAAGGTCTGAAAAATGATACACTTGATCCCAACATTGTTTACTCAACATTAAAAATATTATTGCAAAGAAAACATTTGATTTAATAAACATTTAATTTATTATAATTAATTTTTTATTACAGTATAGTAAAAAATGCTATAAATAAATTATTATATTTTATTAAAATGTGACTTTTAATAGTAAGTGAATAAAATAAATCAGGAATTGGGAAAGAAATAAGGTTAATTAAAAATAATGAAATTACAAGTTTAAGGTTAATGAAAAGTGACAATGGGCGAGTTTGTCCCCCACTCGTATTATATTTTTTCTCATGAAATGCTATTATGAGACAACCATAAAAAACCATATGTTGTATTTTTATAATTTGATTGATTTTTTTTACTATTTCATTAATCTTTTATGAATAATAATTATTTTTAATATATGTGCTATTAAAATTTCAAATTTTGACTAATATATCTAAGTTATCTGAACGAAACATTTAGAAAATATCATACTTACATTGAAATAGCAAGTAGAGCATATTAATAGCAAGTTTCTTGGCTTTATATCTATCATCTATTGTTGTTTGATCAAACAAAATTCACTCTATTATATGGTGTCAATTAATTAAAACAATTTTTAATAGTTATTTATTTAGTGCGAATAAGTGCAAACTCATAAATGAATAACTTAATAGTAGAAATGAATTATCTGATATAAATCTCACATTTTGTCCATCAGAAATACTTTAATTGCATACGCATAACTATTAGTAATACGTCTGGAGTGTCAATTAATAACAATCCCACAACAAGTAAAATTCAGATTTTTATTAAACATATTTTTTCCTAAAAGTTTTCTCAAATTACTATATATACATATGTGGATAAAATAATAGTAATATTGTAAAAATTAGATAATTTTTTTTATTTGAGAACCTCTCAAAAGTTCATTCAATTTATCAATTGTTTCAGTTTGATGTATATTCATTTCTGGAGCCTAAAACTTTAGCAATCATGACAATATCATATTCTCTTTCTAACTACGCAATGTAAGGGTATCCTTAAATAGATATTCCTTTGTCTTTTATGCCGCAGTTGTTTTTGTTTTCATATCATACGAATTGCTTTCCTTTATCAGCCCTAGAATAAAATTTGATTCTGATATAAATTCAACAATTAGCCAAACAAATAGATTTAAGCGACCAGATAAGTATGAACTTCTCACAGATAGGCCGCAAGCATCTGAAATCATATTACCATACAATAAACGCCAATATTTAACAAATCCCTTGTATGAACGAACATTTCCATTAATAAAAGAGAACAATGAAAAAGCCCAAGCTATTAAAGAAGCATTTTTGCATGGATGGAATGCATACAAAACTCGTTGTTGGGGTGAAGATGAATATGTTCCCCACAGCGACAGCTGCAGCTCTACTCTCCATGCTGCATTAACAATAGTTGATTCGCTCTCTACTCTTTATCTGATGAATCTGACAGAAGAATACCAAAGAGCACGCGATTATATTCAAAACGATTTTAAACCATCCGGAAGTTGGAGTTTATTCGAATTTCTCATTCGGTTCGTTGGTGGATTTGTTTCTATGTACGAATTATCTCTTGACAAGCTCTATTTAGACAAAGCTGTCGAATGTGCCGACGCCGTCTATCCTCTTATGGAATCAGGCATTTTTGGCGGCGGTGTTAAACTAGGAATCGATCAGAATGGGAAAATTAAAGCATCGTACAGTTCAGGCGGCGGTAGATCTGTTGCTGATTCAAATACTTACCAACTTGAGTTCATTTCTCTTTCAATGCTCACTGGAGATCCCAAGTACATTGACTTAGCAATGAAAACATACAAAAATATGTGGGAACGCTACAAAAACAGAGGATTAATTTCAGATAGTTTCAGCGGAAGCAATCTCCACGTTGGAGGAGGTATAGATTCATACTACGAATATATCATAAAGATATACGTGATGACACGAGGCGTTGCCCGGCCATTCCTCGACAAATATCTACAAATTGTCAAAGATATCAAGGAAAAGATCGTCGTCCACTCAAAGAAGTCGAACTACACTGGCCTCGGCGTGTACTCAGGCGGTTCAGTCAATCCGATGCAGGAGCACCTCGGCACATTCGCCGGCGGAATGATTGCGGTCGGAACTGTAAAAGAGAATCCGCACGCAGCTGAAGACTTGCAGCTCGCGGACGATCTAACAACAGGGTACGCGAAGGCTTACGAGTTCACGCAGACAGGCGTAGGGCCAGAGCGCGTGAGGTTTTCGAACAAAGAAGGGAAAGATTTCGAGATAGAAAATCCAGTTTACATGCTGAGGCCGGAATCATGCGAGAGTGTTTACGTGATGTGGAAATTCACTGGACTTCCAAAATTTAGGATGTACGCTTGGAACATGTTCTCTGGAATAAATAAATACGCAAGGAAGAGCAAGGGATTCGGACATATAAGGGATGTTAACAATGCAAATGACACTCGCTCCTACGGCAACCAGGAAAGTTTCTTCTTCGCAGAGACATTGAAATACCTTTACCTGACATTTGCTGATACTTCACTCATTTCGCCCGCTCAATGGGTGTTCAACACAGAAGGACACCCACTCAGGCACTTCACAGAAGAAGAAGTGCAGAAATGGAAGGACAAACTTAACTTCAAATAAGGATACCCTTACGTGTCAGATTTTTTGCGCATACGAAGAAGTCATGCTAGACATGAGCTATAAACCTGAAATTTTAGCAACATATTTAAAACTTTTTAAACTACAATACACTTTAATATTCAAGAACAAAAATATTCTTTTTTAGAAATTACATAATTATTTTATGTGAAATCTATATAAAAACATATTTTGCGAGCGTAACTTTTTTCTTTATAAGCACCTTATATGACTGATAAACTGTGAAGGCACATAATTGTTAATTCATAGAGTTGATATGTTTCCAAAATTGAGAGGAAATTTGAAAATTGAATACCCTTTCAATTCAATTTTCAAAAGATATCAGCTCCTTCAATAATTGAAGGACGATTTTGATCATTTGCTCTTAAAACAAGTATGCCATGGAGAAAAAAGTTACGCTCGCAAATCTGAAATATAACTATCATATAAAAAAATTAAATTTCTAATTTTTTACTCTATAGATATTATTGGCCACTTGTGTAATGCATAAAAGTTTATGTCATATGCATACATTTGGAAGTATGGGAGACGAGGGAAATTACTTCTATGAGGCACTAGGATTTTTAAAAATTTCTCTATCGGACTCACCATTCAATTTCTCGAAAATTAAAAAAAATCAATAATAGCTAAAATGTATTATGCATAACAAATTTTAATGTTACACGGTATTTTTTGAACTTCATGACATGAATTTTCTTTATATTATTTTTTTTTTGGATTTTCTATGATTTATGCGATAGGCTGGAACAACATTGTAAGTGCAATGATATCATTTATAGAGAAATCTAAAACTTCAGCATTCAGAACTCGCAACCACAAAAATATTCATTTGCTAAGTAAGTAAAGTTGATTAAGTTCGACACTTAGCTTTTATACGTAAAACCAAGTGTGTATTGTTATTTCTTGTTAAATTATTGAGAAAAAAATAAATTGTAAGAGAAACGATACTGATTATTGAAATAATATTGAGGGTAGCTGCAGATTTCTTCATTAACATGCCGGAAATTTGTTAATCTTGGTTTTCTATCATAAAATCTGTCGAAGAATCTAAAAACGGAATATGAAATAGAGATCATGTAAATCTAGAGTATCCTGTCAGAAAAATAGACTAAGCATGTAACCCTTTTTGGTCAGAAACACTTTTTACCACTTAGTCATACAGATGATCATTAAATTTAAACGAGCACTTTTTGTCAGAATTTATTCTTTCACAAAGACAGAAGATTTTAGTATTATTTAATATTAGTGCTGTAGCAAAATTCAAAAAACGGTGAAAATTCAGTGAATTTGTGAATTCACATTTTTTTTCGACATTTTTCTTGATATATGAGAAAGGGACAGACTAGCCCATTGTCACTTTTTAATTTAGCAAATGAACGCTTATGGAGTGGAGTTTTTGGGTAAATCTGATTTGCTTATAAATGAAATAAAATCAAAAGAAACCATATTGGCATTATATTATGCAAAAATAAATGATGTTACTTAGTACTTTTAAAGTTAATTTCAGAAAAAATTTGACACAATGGTATCCGGCACATACAAGTGGTGTACAACCAAAATATAAGTTGGTTTAAACATATATTGCTATATCTCATGATCTTACTTAGTACTTTTAAAGTTAATTTCAGAAAAAAATTTGACACAATGGTATCCGGCACATACAAGTGGTGTACAACCAAATCTTCGACTCGATGAACTTGTCATCGAGTTATATTCCAGTGTTGTTCCTTCATTTCTGATTAAGTTGCAAATTAAAGGTCTGGATTCAGAGAGAAGTGTTAAAGTTATCAAAAAAGTCACAAGAGATTTCGAAGAAATGACACAATTTAAAAAAGTCGAATGCATCAGTATGCTTGAAGCTGTTCAGAAAGGTCTGAAAAATGATACACTTGATCCCAACATTGTTTACTCAACATTAAAAATATTATTGCAAAGAAAACATTTGATTTAATAAACATTTAATTTATTATAATTAATTTTTTATTACAGTATAGTAAAAAATGCTATAAATAAATTATTATATTTTATTAAAATGTGACTTTTTAATAGTAAGTGAATAAAATAAATCAGGAATTGGGAAAGAATAAGGTTAATTAAAAATAATGAAATTACAAGTTTAAGGTTAATGAAAAGTGACAATGGGCGAGTTTGTCCCCCATCCTTGATATATCCATGCACATTAAGAACACAGCTTTTGATACGCTTAAAAAAGCATATTTCATATGAAATTGTTAAAGAAATAAACAATTATATAAAAATTGCACTTATGGGCAGTTTAGATATATAATTTATATATAACATATATACAAATCCATAGACAAAGTGCAATAACTACAATGTTGTAGAAAATTACAGCAGAAATACTGACTTTTTGAAGGATAATAAGAATTCTTCTAAAAATACTGAAAATTAACATATTTCTGTACTCAATTTAGTATATGCACAGAGGTTATGATTTGGTGTTAGGTTTTTATGCCCCAAAATCTAGATTTTTGTGACATCAAATCTTATTAGTGGATAAATCAAAGACTGTCATTTTGAAATAAGCTCATATCAATAAATATCCATTTAAAAGCCTTATTGTAATATGTAACTAGCAAAAAGCCTAATATTTATCAAAATTAATCAAATCAAATGATCAATATTCATGATATGTCATCAGCAATAGCTAATTGATATTTTATTTTGTATTGATATTCATTTTTCTCATATTATACACGATTATATCTCTTTTTTTAAAAAAAGTTTTTATATTAGACATGAAAGTTGAATTAATACAATTTTGTACTAGAGTTTGTTTGTATATTAAATAATAATGATATATACTTCAACATATTGCGTCTCACCATTACCAAAATGTAATTTTGCATACAATTTTCTTTCATTTAACAATGATGTTATTTGAAAAGTGATACTTCCATGATTATTGATTAATGTTCCATCATATATAGGAATGAATGTTAAACAAGACACGCCTGCAGCTGGGTGCATTCGTGGCATTGTGATAAGGCTTATATATAAAGACTTCTCTCGATCAGCATTACGTCAAATGAATATTGACCCATTATTTTGGCGATGCGCTAGTTCCAAGTAGAAATGCTTTGGTATATTTAGGTTATGTCTATATGTTATGAATCATGGTATTATTGATAAAAACGTTCTTAGTCATTAAATCAATCCTAGTATCTAAAGATATAATTTAGATTTTTTTGTTTATTGCTAAAATTAAATACAGTATAACTTTCTTTCATATTGTCGGTACTAACAATACAAGATTGTGTTGAAAAAAACTTAAATATGCATGAAAATTAAATTTAATGGAGTAGGTGACAAAAGTGCATACTCTTAAACAACCGTCGGATTTCCGGGTGAAATCGTGACACACTTTCGTCTTTCGTAGGCAGTGGTGGTTGTTACAAAAGGTAACTTCGAATGTAGCGTGAAATCTGCAAAAAAAATTCTGAAATTTGAATGGAGAACACAAAAATTGAATAGTTTACGTCAATAAAAAAGAGAAAAATGAAGCCAGTGTGTCTCGAACCTAGGACTTAGAGCAGCAATCCCACTGTTTATCACATTACACTACATGCATCTCTCACCTCAGTGAATGAGATCAACTATATGATAACTTTTTCCCCATTATATTCTTGTGGAAAAGTGACAAATAGCAACTTTGACCCTCTCTCAAATTTAATGTGTAAATATGATAAAAATTTCAACTTTACTAATAACATACATAAGTTTCTGATAGTTTAATATAGTTCATATTGATGTGACTGTAAACTATATCAAAAAAATATTTTTAAATATTGTTATGCAAATAATGGGATTTCTAAGGAAAAAATGATTATATTTGTTATATAAAGCAATCTTTTTAATTATTCACTACGTTTATTACATTTTTGGCCGACCATTTACGTAATATGCCTCCACCAAGCAGACGCAAACAACAAAGTCGTGAAGCTAACGAAAAATCAATTGAAGCAAGAAAAACTCCCAAGAAAAGAATGCGCCAAGGAAGTCGATCCAAAACACTGGACTGCTTCTGTAATTGTTAATGGTGACTCTTATACTCGAGCAAGGAATTTATTTCAAGATAACAATATTAAAGTGCCGAGTGAAAAAGATTTACCGTCATCAAAAAGAAATAGGTTAAGGTAATACTAGAATATAAAGACAATCTATTAAAAATGCTCAACAAACAATGAAGAAAGATACATTTTGTTGTAAGACGAGTTACGGATAAGTGAGGTGAACCGAAAAATGACACTTATTTAGTCGATAAATTCCCTATATATTTACTTGTCAAAAAAAATCAGACTTTTTTGCTTTAAAAAATTTATAAGTTAATTATTGAAACGAAGGTGAAAGGAAATGGATATCTCTTACCTTTCATTCCCTCGAGAAAGTTCAAAAACTTGGTGCAATCAGTTCTGATTGCACCCAAGTTTTTGAACTTGTATAAGGAATTGTTGGCTATGATTACTGATCATGAATCAGTACATCATAGCCAACAATTCCTTCGCAAACAGCGGGAAACTTTGTCTGAATAGTTTAACATTCAGACAAAGTTTCCCGCTGTCAGAGAGGGAATGGAAGGTAAGAGGTATATATTCATAATGTATACCTCTTACCCTTTCATTCCCTCGAGAAAGTTCAAAAACTTGGGTGCAATCAGTTCTGATTGCACCCAAGTTTTTGAACTTTGTATAAGGAATTGTTGGCTATGATGTACTGATCATGAATCAGTACATCATAGCCAACAATTCCTTCGCAAACAGCGGGAAACTTTGTCTGAATAGTTTAACATTCAGACAAAGTTTCCCGCTGTCAGAGAGGGAATGGAGGGGTAAGAGGTATATATTCATAATGTATACCTCTTACCCTTTCATTCCCTCGAGAAAGTTCAAAAACTTGGGTGCAATCAGTTCTGATTGCACCCAAGTTTTTGAACTTTGTATAAGGAATTGTTGGCTATGATG